CCACAGTTGTTGTATAGATTGACGGTTACGCTCTTGTCTGGAAGTCATTGTCCTAATTGATGATTTTTGAGAATGTTAAAGGAATTAAGGAATAGTATTGGTGAAAAATACCTATAAACAAGCGGTTCAAAATACACTCCTTATCTGACAATCATTTTACATTTTCCATTGTTTAAATCGGACCTCAAATTGGTGGAGATATGCATGATTGAATCATTGATAATTCCCTGTGGCTCCAACGTTCTGCTATTTAGCAAAGGGTTCCCACTCATCGGCAATAATAAACAAAATAGACTCTAACTTGCGTAGTATCGAACGACTATCAACAGCATATCAAGTCTCGGTGTTTTACTCCTACGAGCGCCTGACAGTATGTTATCTTTACCACACTTCCAGGTCAGACATTTTACGAATGGCTCTACTAGTTCTCTACTGAGTAAATAAGATGATTCGTAACATTATTCTGAATGCCCCTTATTAATTACTGCATTCGGAATATCATTGATGCGATGACTTATTTCCCACGAAAGTCATGTGGCGTCATCTTTGTATTTATGACTAAAAACAAAAGTTAGCGGAACAATCGGTTTTTGATCGACAGAACTTATACCATACTAACGGTAATTGAATCATAATGACGCGAACTTCGGGCTTTTCCCGCTTTCGACTTATTGGTTGACAAATTCATTATAGAGGCAATGGCTTCGGTTATGATGGTTTGTTCATTCACTATCGTTCAAAATGAAAGAAGGCTTACAAACAGTGGACGCAAATTTTCCAAAGACTTTAGAAGGAAGGGTTTATCATGTTGGAGTCAAGAGAGGAGAAGGTAGAAAGTCATAATATCTATTGCTCATGATACCGTTACTAGTTTTGTGTGGTGACTATAGTGGCAAAGTTACTTACTTGTTTTCAAACTGGTTATATTAACTTTGGTCAATTGATTTACCAAAAAGTTGCCAATAGAATTATAACAGTTGGCGACCATAGCAGAGCAAGAGCTTTAGCTAAATTTCTTGATCAGACTCCGAATCCTCACATTGTGCGGTCAGAAAGAAAATTTCTAACCATTACTGGAAGATACAAAGGGGTGCCTGTGAGCATAATAGCAATTGGAATGGTGAGTAATACTCTAAACTAATCAAGGCAAGAATCGTGAACACTTTACCAATTACCGCTTGTTCTTTGCCAATTCCATGTAACATTACTCTAGGGTTTTGCGATGGTAGACTTTTTTGTTAGAGAGGTTCGAGCAGTGGTAGATGGCGAATTGGCAATTATCAGGATGGGTTCATGCGGAACAATAGGATCACCAGAAACTGGATCGATGGTAGTTCCCGACGGAGCATTCGTAGTTACTAAAAACTATACTTCTGCTGAGGAAGATGAAGATGATTCGGTGAGTTCTCGATACAGCTTATCAAAAGTGTATCATGCCGATGATCAGATGCATAACCTGGTAGGTGTATAAACGATTCGAGTAAGTGTAAATTTGGTTTCAATAGGGTTTACGTTTAATGTTCATTCTATTTCTCCCCAAGCTCAAATCAGAACTCTGTAAACGATTTCCCAAATCCGAAGTCTACGTCGGTCTAGACGCTACATGTGATAGCTTCTATTCTTCACAGGGACGGATGGACGTCAACTTTGCTGATTACAACTCATCCATAATCTCTTACATTACAACTGTCTACCCGCGTACACAGATAATGGAAATGGAGACGGCTATCCTGTATCGACTGGCAAGAGCTAGTAATAACTACCCACTTAAAGATAAGAGCAAGAAACACAGTATTAAAGCCGCTGCTGCTTTGATGGTATACGCCAATAGGAAGAACAACGACTTTGTTTCTCCCGACAGGGTGAACTTTTTGGAAAAAAAGGCTGGGGAGGCTGTATTTGAAGCCATCGTTAAGGTTAACTTGGACGAACTGCATAATGAGGAAGGGAGTGTTTGGAGCATAACGGATGACACAAAAAACGTCGCTACTGAAGATCTGATACATTGTTAATCATAGATGCGTCGCATTATATTTAAGACGTTCTACTTCTAGTCGACAACATACTACAAAGCACACGTTACACTACAGATGGAGATTATTGGATTATTTGTATTTTACGGGTGGGGATTTGCGACGTCCAGTATTTCGCTATTTAAGT